TCATCACGCGCATTATCTCTTGAGAAATTCTTTGTCATTATAGCAACAATTGAATCACTCAAACCGAAGTAACACTGCCACCCGGGAGTTTAATTCCTGAAATCTCAATCCTTTTCGCAAAATTGGTCTTAACCCCATACTTATATATAGATTTCCAGATATTGTGAACATTAATAGTTGAGAGAAAATTTCTCCACAACTCAAGCTTGGCATTAGCTAATTTAGCCTTGTAATTATGCCGCAATTTGAAATATTTAATTTTATAAATATTTTTAAGAAAACCATTTCTTTCTCTCTGGAATCTTCACCTAGCAGAATTTACATGCTTTCTATAACAATCAATTTCCTTAGACCACCAAGGACCCCACTTCTTCTTACTTTTCTTCATCAGAATTGAAAGTAAAGCACAATTAAAAATAACGGTAGAAAGCCTGTTTACAACATTTTCTAATGCAATACAATCAGAGCAACCAACTGTTAAGAAGGATATTGATAAAGTTACACAATTCTCTCTTACAAAGTTCAGTAAATAAAAACCAGTTCGCTCGTTTTAAATTAAAAGTACACAATTAGAAGATATAATCGGACGGCATAAAACAAGTTCAAAGATAATCTTTTATGGTCAGAAAGAGAATCTCCTCAAGATATCCCAACCTTGAACGTATGGCAGCAGTCCTAACTACAAAGCGTACGGTCATGTAACTTGAGCCTTGCGGGAACAAAGTAGTTCCGCGATTTTCATTAAGTAGAAACAAATGATTCGCACTAATAAAATCACAAGTTTCGTTCCTCTAGCATCAGTAATAGGACTATGCCAAATCGCTGATTTGCTATTCGAATCCATACCACATAAAAATTGTATTTTTCTTCATCGTTAAAATTTGTGAAATTTTAATAGTTCTATGTCATATTAGTTTGGGGCTCGAAATAAGCGAACAAATAGTCAAGTCAGATCCATTGATTTTTATATCTAAAACAACAGTATTATAAACTGTATGATTTAAGTCTAAAAAGGAGAAAGATTCTGGTTGCGAACAATAACAGCAGACTGACAACTTCTGCTTCGGAATCATAGTAACATTATTTTTTATTGGAAAGCCAGGATGAACACCTTTATAAAAGTGCGGCTCCTGAATCAGTGCGACATCAGTGTCATTTGTCTCCATATATAAAATAAGTTGCTGCGTAGCAAGTTTTGATTTGTGCAAACTTATTTGTACAAAAGAAACTAATTGTCGGACTTACCCATAATTAATTTTTGAAGCTTTAAGGTTCATCATAAATGTATGGCTGGGGCAAGTTCCAGAAAATGCTTATGATTTACATCAACTTTCTTAGTTGCATTTTTCGTCTTTTTATTAAACTTTATGCAATTAATACACACTTGCACTTCGTTTTTATCACATTCTGAACTCTTATACTCACCAGAGCAGCAATAACAAGCCAAGGGATTTCTGCAATCAAGACTTCTGTGGAGCCTAAACATTTTAAAACATCTATTTAAAACAACAAATCTTCAGCTTTACACTTTCCCATCACTTTAATATCCCAAAATTTAAAATACGCTTGCGACAGAAGGATGCCTCAAACCACCTTCTCTCAACGTTGAAACTTTTTTAAAGTAAAGCGAATTGACGTCTTTCCAATCTTCACTCACGGTAATTCAGGATTTTGTTCTTCATAATTTTTTAAATCATCATTACTAATGCTGTTTGCACATTTTAAGTAAACTGTAGGATATTTTCGTCTTGGAATAGAGGGATAAATAGAGTCGTCCTGCAAAGCAGTAACAGTTTTTCTTTATCATATCACGAAGCACATTTCACCATTACTTTATGTTATGAACTGTTCGAATATTGCTAATTCCAATTTTATGTTTCCGAGGGTTGATTTCAGCTTTAAGGAGCTTTTTAACTTCATCAGATGTACAGTTTTGGGCAATCACAAAAACACTTAATTATTGGGATTTAATTTTTCTTCCACTCACATATGGAGTTTTCACCATTGTGAAACAGCCTTGCCACAGAGCGATTTCCATTTTCTTTCGTGAATTGAATGACTTTACATATGAAACCAGCACTGTGCTTGTTTCATTTGGCTGGAGCTATATGTAGTACTAAAAGGAACACTAGATCAACTATATTTCAATTAATGTGATTGATTAAAGGCTTTGATGTTGACTTCAGAATCACAGCTTCAAATGACTACAGAAAGAGAAAACATCTGACTACTAATTCTGAGAATTAATGCAGGTCAGAAGAGCATTTGTACCCCAAATTATATCCCCTTTTTGTCAAAATCCCAGAATTATGTGTGTGTGCACACCTGCATTGTTTGAATACAACCCATCCACTTTACAGAATTACTTACTTCCTAAGAGGGCTGTGGAGTCGGAATCAGAGTCAGGTAGATTTTGGGGTTAAGGGAGTCGGAGCTGGAGTCGCTAAAAACAGGTCAACTCCGACTCCAGTTTTCGTTGGACAGTTTGAAATGAAATTTAAATTAATTGAAAAAAATTAATGACAAGCTGAGTTATTATTTTTTTACGAACTGTATACATTAATAAATAGTTATTTTCTATTTTACTGACATATTCATAAATAAATATAAGGGAAGGATGGATATGATATTTGCCACTAGCAATTAAACATTCATTTAATTACAAATCTCACTGGTAAATTTAGGTAAGTAGCAATAGAAACGAGCAGGAAAAGGAGCAATTATTGATCAAGCAACGCTATAAGGAAGTAGATATTTGATGATAAAGAGTTTTTAGAATTAAAAACTTTTTAGTAGATAATCTTAATGTTCCTCTAACAGAAAGACTGTGGAATGATCTTGCAGGATTGGAAATTCTTCTTTCTACACCGTATATAGCCAACAAAAAGCTGCAGTCTGAAGAATTGACAGGAGGCCAGAATGGAATGTTTGTTCTTCGAAATGGGGTTTATTGCAGAAGGAATAATTTCTTCAATGAAGGAAAGAGAAACTAGTTTGCTAGACAATGAGATCTTGCTGGGTTCAATATATGGACATCCAAAACACCGAATTTTCTTGGACGACGAACAAATTAAAAAGAAAAAAAAAGGAACAAATTAAAAAGTCATCTATGAATTTTCATTAAGAATGAAATTATTCTCAGAACAATTGGAGAATTCGAATCAGGACAGTCAAACTGCAGACATTGCAATTGAGTCTCTATCACCCTTTTCCATTGAGGAATTAGATATTGAGAAATATTTTTGGATAATATTGAAAAGGCTAAGGCAAAGCGAATGAAAATAAAAAACAAGAGCCTTCAGAAATAAAAATGAAAAAATACAAACAAGATTTCTACACAGCCTTTGAAGAAATAGTAAATATGATTGCACTTGCAAGACACCTCTTTTAGAACTTTTAAAAATCTATCCTGAAATGTTAAAAGAAGTAGCCCTAACAGTAAAAGCTATTCCTCAAGTTAGTATGGAAAATTCTCAGCTCTGAAGTTTATCAAATCGGATCTATGGCCATCCAATAAAGAAAATCGTGACGAAGCTATACTGTTTCTTAGAAATAACTAATGCTAGTTTTCCATTTCATGATAAATGTTAATTAATATAAATAATTTGCTATGCCATCAATTTTTTCTCTGTAGCATCTATCACTACTTTTATATTTAAAAAAAAAAGCTGTAACCCATGTGTATACGTTTACACACATATATCTATATGAGGGAGTCGGAGTTATTAAAATTTTAAGAGTCAGAGTCGATCATTTTTCCTACTGACTGCACAGCCCTGCTTCCTAAAGCATTTTCCCCAGACACCTATTGTTCCCTTTATCACTTGTCATTTCAGTATACCATTGTTCCAAAGCTTGAGAGAAAGCTTCGAATGGATGACTTTAAAAGATATGATCTTCATTTGGAAATCTTGCTTAGAAGTGCTTTAGGATATGCTTGTTTATATTTTACCTTACAAATTTTGTGTTTTTGAGGTACTTATATTTAAGAGCATGATCTTTTGTCTTAGTTTATCTTTTAAAAATGAAAATGTGAACTGATAGAGCTTATTGTTTAACTCTAGCAATTTTCTGGACTGTGATGTTAACTGATGTAATTCATTTAAGTAAATCAGTTATGTGGAAAACATCTTAACTTAGAGAAGTTATTAGGACGACAATATTAACAATATTTAGAATAGAATATAAATGCACTTTTGTAAACCTATGTTAAAAGTGGCACATTCAGTTCCAATATTATCACAGCTTTCCACTGTAAAGAAATCATATATTTTTTATTGAAAAGATCAAATTTTAGTTGGAAGAGAAGCAAGAGAGTCTAAAATTTAAAACTGGACAGAAATGCAATTTTAGATTAGTTAGATTTTGAATGAAACCCTTAGCAAATTTGAAACAGATCAGGCATACATAGTCCTACTTTTTTAGGAGGGTAAAAAAAATGTGTAATAAAATAAAACTATATTTTTACTCCTGAAGAAGAAGGATTTGTGTCTTATCACCCTCAAAACTAGTGGAGTTTCATTCAAGATCTACATCAACTTTATGTTGCTTTTTTTTAATCTAATTTTAAGCAGGATTTGTATTTTGAGATTATCTCCTTCTAAATAATAAATACAAGTAGAATGATAGTAAGGAAAGTGGTCAGAGAATTAATCACAGTATATAAATAATACTGACAAAAAAAAAAAAAAAAAAAAAAAAGCGTAACTTTACCATATGTATAAACTAACTTGCTAACTTAGCTATTTTATATCTTAATTGATGCTTCTAATTTCACTGCAATTTGTTTATTATGTAAAATATAGTACTTTTTTAATTTAAAGAATTAAAATAGCAAAGTCATATTATATACTAGAATACTTTTTAATATTGATTAGCCATTACTACTTTTCAGATTAAAATTTTCTTATTGCATTTATGTAATTTTTTGGCCTCTTAATTTAATTAAGTTAAAAATTCCTTCAAACAAAGTGAAAAATATGCTTTTATTTTTCTTTTAGGATTTCCCATGGCTGACAAAATCAAAATTATAAGTCTCAAATATCTTATTAAGTCTCATAATATCTTTTATTGTAAAATAATTCACAGTCTAAGAGATAATTTTTTATGTATGTATATTTTTATATGAAGGATTTTTTTGTCAAATGTATATCTGTTAACTCTTTAATATTTTTAATGTTTGTGTATATATATAAGTTTATTAGTGCAAATATGAGATTTTTATGTGTACTTAAAAAACATATATTTTTAAGCTTAAATAACAAGTTTTAAATTAATGCTGATAAGAGCATTTTATTTGTGTATACTCTTAAAGTTAGAAATCTTTCATATATACTTTTGTATGTAATTTACATGACTTCAGGGAAAGCTTCTGAGAAATATAATGCAAATTTTTTTTTTTAAATACTTTCAGCAATATGCATAGGGGCAGTTCTGAGAAAAAAGTAAGACTTATATATGATTCCCATAGTATTCAATATGAATTAGTTGGTTAAAAAAGTGTTACTACCTTTATTTTTCCATTATCAAAATTCTTTGAAGTATTCTTAGTAAAAGTTTTAACCAAATGAGAAAATTGGCCAACTGCAAATTTATTGATAAATGTTGATATAATGAAAAAGAGGAATTTCATGAAATGTCTTTAATTTAAACTAGAAACAAACATGAAAATAATGTCATAATCCTTCTGAAATATTTCTGAGAATTTTACACATAAATGTTTGAAATACTTCTATTATAACTAATTACAGCAAGATGAGTATTTAATTCCCTGAAAATTTTACTTTCTATGCAACATATAAAAAAATTCTTTCTTCTAAACCCTCCCCTTCTTCAGTACCGGTAGTATTTTCATAAAGTTCTAGATCAGTGGTATCATCCTTTTTAGTCCCCATGCACCCCTTTTACCATTGCTAGATTATTTCACCACTTCTTTTCCAAGCTAAAAAATATACATGTATTAATTCATTTACATTTAGATTATTTCATAACATGTTTTATAAATTAAACAGCAAAAAGCATAGAAAATGTTCACAAATACCAAAACTTGAATAAAAGTTGTATTTTATAGTAAAAACTGAATTCTAAGCAGACAAATAAAAGGTTTACAATATTCCTCCTTGAAGCTATGAAATTCCTTCGTGGTTAAGAACTCTTGTTCTAGATCATCTTTAAGAGTGTAGTTTTAGCATATGTCTAAAATTAGTGATAAAGGAAGATATAACACGTTTTTTAAGAAATAATTTTCTGATATCTTTTGTTTATAAAGGAGATTGAATACTAGTTTTTCTGTCTAAAATTGTTAATCTGTTTTATTCAATGTATCCAAATAAAGAAAATCTCAGAGTTTACAAGTGTATAATGGCAACATTAGTACTATAAAATATAAAATTTTACTTAATTTAGAGTTGGTTATGTTATGTTTAATTGCTATAAAATCTATTATGCATCAAATAGTTTCTTTTAAAATTAGTAACCACCACAATATTTATAGATTGCATTTAGTAATTTTAAAATGATCTAACCATTGTAATTTTTTTATTTAAAAGCTTCTTCATTTCTCTTTCCTAACAACTTTTGGTTACAAAAAATAATTTTGCTGGTAAATCTAAAAATATGTTTTACCTGCTTTATGTTGTGAATTAATTTTGCATTACAACTGGCTTTTAGCATTTTCTTATTTAATCTCTATTTGTTATGCATGGTGCTGACATTTATTCTAGTTAATTATAGTAATAACTTATAACCTGTTGCTAATACAAATACATATAATGCCATTACTTTTTTATTTATATATTATTATATTGCATCTTTTAAATAAATATTTTTATAACCACTTTAAAGTGGGAGATTTTCATCACAGTCATTAAATATAATATTTGTTCATTTCTATTTCACTGATCAAAAAGCACTTGAAAATAAAAATTCCTTGAATGTGAAGGAATACCTACATTTTAGGAAAAATACATTATAAAAATAAAAATAAAAATGTAAGTCAATATTTATTTTGTCATGTATTGAGTCTGAGGGGGAAAAAATGTAGTTTTTTCCTTCCCTGCAGAATTTCCTTAAAATAAAAGTACCATTAAACTGTCTCTCAAGGATATTGTTAGTGATATATGGCATGGGAATCTAAAGAATTTAGAATAAAGGCATGGGAATTTCTTTATTAATAAAAAAAAAATCCTTTCTGTAATGCCTGCCCATATGATAAGAAGCATTTTTGATATTTTCCATGCTTATGTCTAGTAAAATGTAAAGAAAATAAAGAGAAGGTAAACAAACATGTTAAGAAAAAGATTCTAGTATCAGAAGTAAAACATTCAAATATTATGTTTTTATTGTTCTTCCAGACGTTCCCCAAAAAGTAAGAAATTCATCGCAAAACTTTCTGTAAAATTACATCCATTACGTGTTAATACTATGGAGACATTTTTCATTTTGTCCCATATTTCTGAAATCTTCTAGAACCGTGGGTCTTCTAGAATCTAGAATCTTGCCTTCAAATTCTTCTAAACTTTGTCTAAAATCCTAAAGACAAATTATCTCTACCAATTCTGTAATAGCAAAAAGCCAGAAATATTTTTTTTTGGGGGGGGGAAGGTGGAAAAAAGTGTAAAATTAATTTTATAAAGAAAACTGATGCATATTCTGAGACAATTACATGAGAAAAACTCTTACCATGAAAAAAATAAAAAGAAGACATTTTTAGTTAATTACGTAGCTAATTTTGTTTTTGTTAAGAACTGTTTCGTAAATTGCACTTTATAGCATTATACCTTGTTTATTTTTCAGATTCAAAATATTGTATAATAAGTTGCCAAAATGAAACTTTATAATATGACAGCGAAAAATAAAAATGTTTTATTTTAATGTTATTTTTTTAAATATAATTTCAATATATTACCATTATTTTAATGAAATTTATCAATGTTACAATGTGTTTAAAAAAATCATTGAAAAATTCCCAGATCTCGGAATTAAAAATTTTCTATAGAAACTGATTTTAAAATTGGTAAAATGTTGATAAGTCACCAAATTTAGAACCGTTTAATAAAAGAATTCGCATCCCCAGAAGCAAAAAGTTGTTTAAGAGCTCTTCATTAGAAAAAAGGAATTTCGAAATGCTTATGTTTCACTTCTTGCTTAGAAACTCGACTATCCCACCATTTATATTAGAAAGAGGAACAAATTATAACACATAAACCCATTCAAAAGATAACCGTATATGTCAGTGAATCGCCAAAAATATTCCTCCGAAATGCTAATTCACACTCAATATGGCAGTCGTAAAAAACAGACAGAAATTTCTGATGATAAAATTAAGGACCTTCTGCCGATTTTCGTCAAAATTAAGGACCAAAAATTGATTCCAAAAAACATAAATACCATACGAACCCTGTATTAACTATAAAGTGGTGATATTATGAACTGCTGGAAAGAAAAAAAAAATTCCCTTAATCCTACGCCCGTCTTCAACATTTTTCTGCCATTAGTCGACGAGCAGCCCAATAAAATGGTGAGAGTGTAAAAAGCAAGGGTAAAAATTAGCCTCGATAGAGTTGTCTGTAATAAAATTTAAAATAACAGTGTGTAATGTAGCAGGAATCCAAGTGTCTGAGTAATGCTAAATCTGCTACAGTGCTTTATCGCCTGTAAGTAGCCGTCACTGATAGAAAGTTTAGTGTTGAAAATTTAATGTTGATATTATTTCAGAGAGGATATTACTGATATGTTGCAGTTAATGATAATCAATTTTAATTGTATAGTGTTTAAAGTAGCATTTATTTTCTCGCAGCGGTTGTGACTTTATGAATTTTCCTCTCTCCTTTATAATTCACAGAAATTATGAGCCGTAGTGGTATATTTCTGTGTCTACTCTTTTTATCTATTCAATAAGTACTTGTTACAAACAAGTACAATTTTGTTTATGAAACTTCCCTTTTGCAAAGGACCTAAATTAGTACCTCTTTTGTTTAACGAAATGTACTCCAAAGAGGATTTTAGTGTGTATTTACCATCATTCCTTTAATTATTACATCATCTTAAAAGATGTTTGGTGTGATTTGATAAGCGCCATGGTAATAGCTTTGTCGCTTTCATTTCCCTTCAGAGGTATTTCTTTTATAAAATGGGCGAAATATGTATTTTGCAGAACATGCTGTATATTAAAGTATTGTACAAGTAGTTGAGGTTGTTGTATACTTGTAATACCGGGCATCGGAATCTCGGAGGTAGTTTGTTTTGTCTCGGAGACTGTCTCTCATGAAGATTTACTCGCTCTGGAAAAATAGTATTCACATGTGTTGCCATAGTATGTTAACATTTTTCTTTCTTAAAACAGTTTATGACATTATATATATCTTTATATAACTATTTTTGAAGAAATAAATGTAGTTTAAATAAAATAAAGGAACGAATCTAAAGAGCTTTTTTAATTGATTTGATTTGGAAACTACTCTTTTGTATAATTACACATTAAAAAATTTTACATACGCATTAAAAAGATTATTAAATTAAATTATGTTAATTCTTTTATTCGAAAGGAAATTCTGGTTCCGAATCTGGTTCATAATGGCCACATATATCATGTATGAATTTCCGGAACTTGCTAAAAATTGAACGAATTATCACTAAGCATGCTTCTCTGTGTTCTTTGCGTAAAATGAAGTATATAAGAGGATTCAGTGCGGCAGTCGCGAATTGCAGGATAATTGGAACCAAAGGGAACTTGCTTTGTAATATGTTTTTACGTTCCAAAACGGAACGAAGTTTCAAGATGTAGAAAGTGGGCGTACAGATGAAATAGGCCACAACTAAAACATACAATGATCTGAGAGTCTTCGCATGGTTTTTGGCGCAAATTTGAGGCATTGTTTCAGAGCCACTAATCTGAAAGACAACACTACGTGATTTTCTGATTGCAGATATAATGGAAAGGTTGCTGATGAGTAACAAAAATGACGGTAAAGCGAAACTAAGTATTGTAGACATTACTGCAAAAAAAGGGTTGGCTTTCTCCCAGCGAGGATTGCATATCATGTCCCAAGCTTCGAAAACATACCAGTCGCCGATTGCTGGTATGAGTGATAAGCAAAACGCATGAATCCATACAAAAAGGAGGACTAACTTCACTCTGCAAAAAGTAACCAGATTGGGATAATGAAAAGGCTTATTGACGGCAAGAGCTCTGTCGACACTTATAGCAGCCAAACTCATATTCGATGCAGTCATTAATGTGCAGCTGACAAATGAATAAACTTCACAAGCTGTGTCATTTAATTCCCAACTCCTATCTACTAAAGCAGCAGCGCATGGGGACATCACATAGATTGAGTATATAAAATCTGCAAGAGCTAGATTAGCGATGAAGTACGCACCTTTTTGGTTCCGAAGCTGGCTGCAATTGGCAAATGATAACATGACAAGTCCATTTCCAGCCATAGCTATCATAGCAATAATAAAAATTACAATAGCTCCTGGGATATTTTCGTTATTCTGTTCGCCAGTAAAATTGAAGTCACTGTCCACTGAAGAATTATTCAACATTCTACTAACCTGAAAAAGTAAGCATAATAAATTTGTAGAATGCAAATGTAATTTACAAATAAAGAAAACTTAATATTTATAAGCAAATTGTTATGTAAGGTATCAGAGATTGACTAATTTATTTGTTAAATTTTCTATATTTTAGATTTAATGTACAGTCAGTCCCCCCCCCCCCGAAAAAAATGGGTCAAATCTATATCTTCCATTCTAGTCGGCCGGTTGACGAAATTCGACTTCTGGTTTTTCTTGGAAGCACAACTAAGGATTTATATTAGTTTGTATATTGCATTGTTGTAATACACATATTTTGACACCAACTCGAAATTTTTATGAAATCACATGCCATTTTCCATATTTCTGTTCTATGCTTCAAATTATACCAAAATGCCAAGTTTTATAAAAAATCGCCTTACCGATTTTTTTAATTAACATTCAAACATGTTAACTAAAACTCAGTTTTAATTAGCACTCACTCCGCAGTGTGAGTGCTAATTAAAACTGAATTTATGATAGAATTTGGAATATATTTAACAATATGGCTTTTTAAATAGAAATTACATGATTTCGTCTTTCATGAGTCGAAATTTTAGGTTCCCAAATGGAATTCATATATTTTTTCTGGTTTATTTTAAAAATTAGTATTTTTAAGTAATAATAATTATCCCAAAAGGGCTATTAGTTTTGAAACGCGAACACTTAATTCGTGCAAAATAAAAATGCTTGTAATTCATAAGTAGTTAATAAATTCTTGTGTAAGGGCAACAGAAGGAAAATGGCATTTTTCTAATATGAAAGCATATAAAACTAATAGAGAATTAAAAGGAAATGCTTAAGTTAATAATTTTGCTGTTTTCCAAATCTGCTTTTATTTACTAGCTCAGACTTCAAAATTGGAGGTTAAAATTTTCGAGCTAGGACACTTAAAAGGAGATTCAAATTTTCAAAATTAAAAAAAAAAAAAAAAAAAAAAAAAAAAAAAAAAAAATGACGTTATAAAGCTGTCCATAAAAATTTTTAAATACGTGAGAACACGCATAAAATGATGAAAGGTTGATTTTAAAAAATGGCGATAGCAAACTATATAAAAAATTTAAATAATAAAAATTAGAAGATAAAAAAATATATATATAAATTAAAAAAATGAATGTAAACTTCCTGTCTCTGTTTCCTTAAGCACTTGTGCTTGAAAGCAGCCAATATTTCGTTTCAATGTTACAATTCGACATTCGCTTCTTTATTCCTGTTTATAATTATTATTATTAAAAAAAATCCGAAAGATTTCAGATTTTAAATTACGTCCGAAGGGGCATTTTTTTAACATTTTGTGTGTTACCTTTATTTATTAAATATCATGCTCTTCGCTCTTAAACCATAAAACTCAGTTCAAGAGCAATATCGCAAAATAATTTTTAATTAAATGAGCATATCTTTAGAATTTTCGATACACAGTCTCGCGTGCTGGAGATAAAAATGTTTTTTCTGTATAACGGTGCCACTGCTCGCTTTCAAATTTGAGCTTCCAAATGCCCATATTCGGAGAAGTGTTATTCAAAATTTTGAAAATTGGATTGCTCTAGGTACCGTTGTTTTATCACAATGTGAGAAACATACATACATTTATGCAGATGCTTCATTATTTAATTTCTTTAAATATAATGCAGGGCGATAATATTTGGTGGCAACAATTTGAAAAGTGAATCAACGCAAAATGCCAAAACAATATTAATAGTCCTTCTGCGCAAATTGGCTCTTTGGAATAATAAGCGAAGTAACCAAGTTATAAGCTGTGAAATCAGGTATTTATTATTTTTTTTATTTTTTTTTATTTTAGCGTATTTTTTGCTGAGGAATATATGCAACATTCAGCTTTCTAATTTTGTATTCTTTAAAAGAAAATTTCGCTTGCAAAAGCCCTCGCAGAACGTAAAGGCCAAGTTTCCTAGGCATGATATAATATATCATCTCGTGCATGTAATTCTCTAGATAATGAAACAATCAAAATCTCAGGTATATATACTATATATATCGTTCAACGCGTATTTTTCTCTTATTTATTTTTATCAGTTTAATGGTGGAAGAAATGGATTTTATTTTCTCTGATGCGAATTAAAGAAGAGTTTGAATAACGCGCACTTTTTACAGAGGAATATGCGACATTAAGCTCTCTTACATCAGGTAAAGGAAAATTTCGCTCGCAAAAGAGCTCACGGAACATAAAAGCAAAGTTTCCATAATACACTGACTACCAATAAGTATTTGGACACCTGTGATAGAAAAGAAAAATTAAATTTATTCAAAATCAATAGTTGGTAGAGTCTCCACGAGAGGTAATTACAGCGTGAACCCTCCAGGGCATACTTTCCACAAGTCTTTGTATGAGAGCTAGTGGTATTTTCTTCCACTCGACTTGGAGAAGACATAGAAGTTCCTTCACCGATTTTGCACGGGTAGTGCACCCCTGAATTCGGCGATACAACTCGTCCCAGTGGTTCTCGATAGGGTTCAGGTCTGGACTCTGGGCAGGCCAACCCATTCAATGAACTCCATTGGCACCATACCAAGCCTTGGTTAACGTCGAAACATGACAACTGGCATTGTCATCCTAAAAGTAACAGGGGTCCAACCCGTAAAACTGCCACAACGTAGGAAGCACATTGTCATCCAAAATAGTGCAGTAGGCATAGGAGTTGAGCTTACCATGAATGGGGACCAGGGGTCCCAGCCCATACCAGGAGAAACACCCCCAGACCATAATTCCACCTCCGCCGAACTTGACTGTTGGCCCAATGCATTCTGGCAGGAGACGTTCTCCAGGTAGACGCCAAACCCAGACCCTGCCATCCGAACGGTAAAGGTTGAACCTTGATTCGTCACTCCAAAGAACCCGTTTCCACTGATCTACGGTCCAATTTCGATGTGCTTTGCACCACATTAACCGAGCAGCGCGGTTGGACTTTTTGACCAAAGGCTTGTGGCAGCAGCACGACCATGAAACCCAAGCAGATGTGTTTCCTTATGGATGGTGTTCATTGAAACAATACTCCCGGATGCCTGTTAAAACTCCTCGCGGATGAGGGCTATCGGTTGGGTGCGGTTCTTCCGAATTTCTCTGGACAGCACTCGTCGGTCTCTATCTCCCAGTTTCGTTGGTCTGCCGACTCGGGGCACATTCCGACAATCACCGCTCACCTTCCACTTCTTAATCACATAGGCCACTGTTGATTTTGGGTGCTTCAGATCGCTAGATATGTCCCTTACGGATCGGCCACATTTGTGATACCCGATAATTATACCTTTCTCGAAATCAGAGAAGTGCGAGGCATCTTGCATGCGACTAAAGCCGATGCTGTTTCCTACATGACATATACCGGCGGAGTCCGTGAAGTAAGTACCTTAGGATCGCAGATATCGTCATTTGCATAGGTGTCCAAATACTTATTGGTAGTCAGTGTATGATAATATTTCTTCTCGTGCACGCATTTCTCTAGATCAGCGGTTCTCAACCTTTTGTCTAACACGTACCATCTAAACAAAAACTGAAAAACTTTTGTACCACCACCTACATTTTACAATGACTATTTCTTAAACTCTCAGTACAAATATTTAAAAAAATATATTTTACCATTTGCACAACCTATTGGCTATTTATATTAAGTATGCACACATAAAAATATTAGATTAAATATTTGTTACCATTTTAATTATCAAAATTTAAGTTATAACACTTTAATTCTAAAATTAATATAAAATTTGGGCCTGTTTAAGCTTGTTATTATCCAATTCTCTGATTATTAGTTCGATTTTTTTATCATTGCATTTATTTTATCTCTAATTGTAAACAAATTAACTCTTTTTTCCTTGTATTTCTGAATTTAAGTCATTCAACTTTCGAAAAATAACAGCTAAATATACTTAACGCGCCGACGATAATTCACTAAATAAACATTTTTGCAATTCAAATTTTGAATCTTGGAGGGAGATTTTAATTTTTGATCGAAGTTCAAGAACACGACGTAAAACTTTGCCTCTGGGTACAATTATTACAATAAACAATAATTACTTCCTTGTACGAAGTAAAAGAAGTACTGCAATCACGAAAAATTTATACATATTTCTACGAAATTATTTCATAATTTAATATTTCTATGAAAATATCCATTTCAACCGCTCTCGAATCCATTTGAACGATGTGTTTTGGTGGCATCGGTACTTACGGACAGAATAAAGGACTGCTTTTGCTGAAAAGGATTGTGAATTAGATTTAAAATGGATTCAGAAGAATTTTTTTTTACTTGACGTCTGTACATATGCATGTATCTCGCATAACTCAAGAACAAGTAGCCATAGATGACTGAGATTTTTTGCATTGAATTGTTATAACATGTAGTTGTGCACCTCTCTTTTTCGTTGCAATTTGGCTGCACCAATCGTATATATACATATATGTATGTAATAATAAAATTCCATACACTTAAAGTTCTAACTGTATGTTCTTTTCATTTTTAATGGCGACGTTCTCTTATTTGAAAGTACGTGGAATTAAATCCACAGCCCCGTAGTCAAGTTGTTTTTCCCGCTTTTTCTACACGTACAGTTTTAGAATTTTCTGGAAATATTTCAAGCGACCTGGATTGGCTGACGTCATTTTCATGGAAGCTCCGCCTTTCCAGAGGCTATAAAAAGACTCGCAAAAGGAATATTGGAGCTTTTTCTTAAATGTCACGATGCAGTAAACTTCATACAAAATATTATTAGTAGTCCTTTTTTATTTACTCCGGAGATCAGATTTTGTAACTATTTTCTCCTGAAATATAGTAAATGGATC